GATATCTTGGCTGAAATATACACTATATCTCATTATTATCATTGTAAATTAAATATATTTGGGTTTTACACTGTTGGTCGGACAAAAAAAATAACGTGAAGGTGTCAACTTGGACATTTTTCACTACTATTCTTATATCATAGAACAAAAAAAACAACTAATAAACCAGAATACCCAAAGCTTTAATAAGAGCCGGCCTTTAAGGTAAGTGCTGATCTGAGTTGGTAGATAAAAATATGTGATAAAAGACTTTGCTATCCTTTTAAAAAATATCTCCAATCAACAAATGAACAATCTTGTATGGACTGTCCTTGATTTAAATTGAATCACAATCATTACTTTACAAGGGACAGTTCACCCCAAAATCAATAACATATTTTCCTCTTACCTGTGTTGCTGTTTATCAGATAGATTGTTTTGGTGTGAGTTCCTGAGTGTTGGAGATATCAGCTGAAGAGATGTCTGCCTTCTCTCCAAAATAATAGTACTATTAAGGTGGAACGTGTACTTGTAGTGTTATTCAGTGCATAAGTTGATGACATGAATCCATCAACAAACCTTAAAGTTCAATGTGACCACTTTGACCATTATTTTAGTTTCTTTTTTTTTGTCCCTCTTGGATGACACACACTTTTAGTAATGAGTGGATCTTCAAACATTGAAAAATATACATATTAATTTGGACTGGCTATGTGAACTGCATATATTCTAACCCTCACTTTAAAAAAAAAGGCATCATGGAGCATCGTTGCTGTGGGCTCCGGCCAGCTCCACTAGCCTTAGAAGAATCAAATGCACAAACCCACTATTTTTAAAATATCCCATGGAGAGAGACCCTCACTACAGCCTGTTCTATTTTGTTCTGAAAATGTCGTTCTGTGGACGATAAACGCGGTGCAGACATCCCTCTGTGTCACCGGTAATGAGGAAATACAGTGAGTGCAGGATGGGGCAGTAAGTGACAACAACCCCGCCCACATTTAAGAGTACTGTTTGCAGTGGCAACCCTAGGGTCTAGGTACCATGTCTGAAGGGTTACTGTTGGTTCCAAAGGTACCATGCTGAAAGTGTTTGATGGAAACAGAACTTATGTGGCACTCTGCTTGCGGGGCTCAAAGCGCCCAAAAACATACATTTGAAAAACTCAACAACAATAGTTGGGTTTCCATCCAACTGACACTAGTACGAGCCATTTTTCCAGTCAAGTACGACTGCAAGAAGAAGAATGCGCACAAGATGATATAATTAAAAGAGAGCCAGTCAAATCCCAAATGAAGGAAAACAATGAATGTATAACAGAAATAAAAAGAAACAGAGTGTTGAACAACTAATATTACAGGCCTGTGCCCTTGAACACCACAAGCCGAGTGCCATCTAGTTCCATTATACTGGAGAGAAGGCAGACATCTCTACAGCTGATATCTCCAACACTCTGCAACTCACACCAAAACAATTTGGATAACAAAAACAGCTCAACAGGTAAGAGGAAAAATATGAGTGCTTGATTGAGGGGTGAACTGTCCCTTTAAAGCATCATTTCCCAAGAGGAAACACATGTTGGCAGATTTTGTTATTATGTTATTATGTCTTATAGATTAGTCACCTGATGCACACTTTCCTCCTCAGACTCAGTACGGCTTTGGTTGCCTGATCGTCAGTGATCCAGACTGTTAATTAACAGTCCCTGACTGTCTGCAGCAAGTCATGTGAAACAGCGGTATAATCTCCACCTGCTGTACCTGCTCTAACTTTAGAACTGCCCCTGGAGCTGCTGGCTGTGTAGGTGGGAGGTTCACAGTAATAACATGTCAGGTGAACATAGTGTTTTAGAGTACGCTCAGCCTTCATCCTACACATCATCCCTTTACTGTCTGCAGGGGGATTTTCTGCTGTACTGGTGTTTTTCCATTACCACTGATGTGACATCTATGTCTCGACATTTCTTGCACAGAAGAAAAGCTTCGAACTCAGCAAAGGTAAACGTTTTGTATTGGAAAGTTTGTTTACCATCAACAGCAGACCAGAATTCACTGCAGTCACTTGTTGCACCTATTTAGTCAAATATAGGCATTCAATGGCAACACCAGCATGACACAACACTGATTCTTCTTGGAAGGGCTACTACTCCATTAATTAGAGACACAAACAAATTAATTACAACACTTGACTGGACGCTGGCCCACGAGACATCTGCGCCACACAGACATGGTAGTCTATAAAAAAACAAACTGAATGCAAAAGTCTGCAACATTTCCTTTGAGATTTCAAATACAAAACAATCCTGCAGCGTTTCAGGCTCATTGTTAGAAATCCACAAATCAACACAAACACTCGCTCGAGGTCTGTAAACAAAAGCAAGGAGAACCTGATCAGCATGGTGGCGACGTAGCACGCTGTCAAGTCAAGACCTCGTCAAATTTATTTACCTTTTAAACAGATGGAGACAACTTTTAGCCTCATTAATGCTGCTGATTATATCTACAGAAATCAGTTAAAGCCACAAGTGTTAGTCCATCAACACAACGCACGAGTTCTTTAAAAACAATTAAATTTCATGTTTTTCTGTCAACCTGTGTCAAACAATTTACTCAAAACAGTGATTAACAATCGTCTTACGGTAATTCTTTGTCATGTTCTGTCATGTCATCGTCACATTTTTCTCTGGTGGGCTGGTGAGAAACAACAAAAACCAGCTGCCAAGGAAATTTCTAGTTTGGGAAAAATAAACAGATTGAAGGGGCAGGGTGGCAGCGTGCCGAAGTGGCAATTAGAATAAACAGCGACAGCACAAACAGACCCTCATTTAGCTGGTGACAAGTGGTCATGAAGCCCAGGTTGGAGCCATGTTTAAAATGGTTGTAATGCATTCAGTCGTGCACTAGACTGACGAGGGGTGATGAAAAGCAAGATTTTTAATCTGCTTTAAGCTGTTAGACGTTATTACCGGCTGTTTGTTTGTTATGTGTTGCTGTTGCAGTCCATCCATCAGCATGTGGATACTGATGGCAAAATAACAAACGTGAGATATAAATTACGGCACAACTTACTGGGGGACCATAAATCATCTATTTGCATCACTGCCTTCAGCATTTGATATCTAATAATATTGCTTAAAAGGAAAGGTTTGACATTTTAGGAAATGCTAGTCAGCTTAGCTTAGCATGATTCAGGGTTACCACACATTTTCATGGACAAATTTTCCCCAATGTCTTTTCAAGGATCCTTAGTAACATTTTTTTCTTGTCCCACTTGCCCAACTTTTTTTTTTTAAACATATCAGATTTAAACTCTACTCAAACAAAATTTCCACTAGCGGCATACATGAAGAGAGAGACAAGAAAATGATGAAACATACCTGATGGTTAACGAAATATCATCACACACTGAGCTACGTTGTGTTGGCAGCTACAGAACATTAATTTGCTGTTAACATTTATCGCGTTAAAGGTTATCCACTAAGGATTATTGTAACAATCAGGGCTGCACAATTAACTGAAAATTAATCAAAACTGTCAGAACCTCTAACTGACTTAATCTTGCCCATGTTGGTAATTTCGCTTTTTTTTTTCCCCCCGACATTCTGGTAAAACCTTCCCCACTGTGTATGTTCATGTAGTGTCCCCTTTAAAAACGTACTACAGCATGTGTGGTCACATGACTCCGCCCCGTCCAGTCTGTGACCTAAAAGCAACATGTTGCAGAACTCAAACACCAAGAGCAACTTGAGCAGCTTGTACCAAAGAGGAATGCCGTGTCTGTCATTTCGACACATTTTGACTTTCGTGAAGACGACACCAAACAGAAAGAAAGAAATCAAATGTAAACACTGTGCAAAAAAATGTTTCAGCGACCAAAGGTAATACCACCAATCTGTTTCTGCACTTGGAGCATAACACATAGATAACACAAGCATTTACAAAGGCTACACAATAT